AGAGTTCAGCCCGGACACTCAGACGGGCCTGTAGATAGTTGGATGCAGCTTAATTTGTGCTCTGGTAGAAGGTGCCCAGGGGAGCCAGGAGCTAACAGTGGGGGATCGGGGATGGATGAAGCCAAGAAGGTAGACCCCACAGAAGAGGTCACATCTAGACGAGGCTTTAAGGGATGAACATGAAGTTGTCAGGTGAGGATGGTGTTCTGTCCATAGGAAACAGCTTGCGGAGAGGTGCCGTGTAGGGTTCATGGTGTCAGAGCTGGGGTGTGGTGGTTGCCAGAGGAGACCTCAGAAAGATGGGCAGGTCCTGGATGCTGCTGACATGGTGCTCATTGTCCCAGTGGTGACAGCATGCCAGCCGGACCTTGTCCTGCACGTGTTTACCCGCACCTGCATGGTGTCAGGGTCCCAGGCCTCCTCACTTCTCTGGCGGATGGGCTCTGCTTGGCAGCGCAGGGAGCTCCAGCCACGGGGGCTTCCCAGGAACTTCTGGGACTGTAGCTAGGCTTGTCCTTGGGCTTCTGTGCATGGGTGCTGGACCTGCCCTGTGGGCCCCATTCCTCAGGTTGGAGTCTGTCAGGCTGGAGTACCGTGCAGGGCTGAAGAACATTGCCAACACGCTCATGGCCAAGGCGCTGCAGGAGTGCCCCAACTCCGGTAAGCGGCTTCCTGGCTTCCCAGACTCGGCAGGCAGTGGCACTTCCTGAGGGAGTGGATCTCAGGGTTCAAACGTGCTATGAAAGTGTTTTGTTTGTGAGAATTTTAGCTCTGCTTGGTCTTTCAGACATTTGAGTTACGTCTCCAGTCTCATTGTGGGGAGTTTGACTTCGTGTTCTGATACGCCCCCATTACTTTTTCTTCTGAAACTTAATTTCCATTTTCTTACCCTGCATCTAAACATACATGTATCATGAACATATTTAGAGTTTAAAAAAAAAAAAAAGGATATTAAAAATCACCTATAGGGGCGCCTGGCTGGCTTAGTCGGTGGAGCATCCAACTCTTGATCTCCGGGTCGTGAGTTCAAGCCCCACGGTGGGTGTAGAGATTACTCAAAAAAAAAAAATCACCTATAAGCCCACTACTGAGAAATTGTTACTTTTTGCTTATTTGTATTCTTACAGCTTGTGTTACTACACACAATGGAAGTCCTAGTGTGTTTAGTGTTGTGCCTTGTTTTAAAGCTGAAAGCTTTGTTTTGTTTTTTTGAGATTTTTTTTATATGAGACAGAGCAAGAGAGAGAGAGCACAAACAGGGGGAGCGGCAGGGAGAGGGAGAAGCAGGCTCCCCACCGAGCAGGGAGCCCGATGTGGGACTTAGTCCCAGCACCCCAGGATCATGACTTGAGCCGATGGCAGGTGCTTCACCATCTGAGCCACCCAGGTGCCCCTAAAGCTGAAAGTTTTGTGAGAATTTTCCATTATCATCAAATCTTCAAGAAAGTAAATTTTTCAGTGGCTTCATGGAATGTAGCAGTGTGGGTATGCCGGAAGTATACCACTCCCCTGTTGGTCAATTTGAATCTTTACTAGCATTTCTGATTGTTTTGTTCTAATAAATCCTTGGATGTGGAATTACAGAGTTGGTGGGAGTGAACCTTATAGGTTTGGGGTTCTTCCAACCCAGTCACCACCTGTGATGGTCCGGCCTGTGCCATCAGGGCTGCTGTGCGGCAGGCAGGCCCTGTGGGCAGACATGTGGGAGGTCATAGCCATGGTCAGAGGACGCCCCGGGTTAGAATCTTAGCAAGCCCCTCTTGGGGTAGCCTGCACATGGACAGGCCACTTCTGAAAGCAGAGGTGGGGTCTGAGTTGTGCTCTTATGTCTGAATTGCAGGTGTCCTGTGGTCTGAAGCCATCTTCCTTGAGGCAAGGCCCCAGAGGAAGACCAAGAGCGTCGATGCCCTGAAGAAGTGTGAGCATGACCCCCATGTCCTCCTGGCAGTGGCCAAGTGAGTGGGGGCATCCTCGTGGGGTTGCTGACCCTGGAGACCTGATGGAATCTCTTAGGGTCCTTGGCCACCAAAGCTCCATGATAAAGCACTTTTGCTTTGACCCAAAGCAGGCACATCTCCAGGCAGAGGCCATGCAGACCTATGCTGCCCCAGTGGCCTGGGCTGTCCCTGACCCACAGACAGGCAGCTTCCTGTGGGCCTGGCCCTCCTTTCCTCCGTCCTGGGCTCCTTCTGTTGGGAGTGCTCTGTCTGTGGCACTTTTCAGTCTACACCTACACGTGTCCTAGGTTGTAAGAAGGAAACTTGCTGATGTTGGTCCACACAGAATTGAAGTAGTAAGCAAAGCAAAGGGCTCTAAGCAAGGAAGTTGTTTTTCTTGTGTGAAAGTGAGAAAGCAGACATTTTCACCTTGGTGACCTCAGGGACAATCCAGGGTCTGTCGGTCAGGCCCAATCAGCCCGCCTGGGGGTGCAGAGATGTATGTACGGGAGACCATCGTTCCTTTAGGGTGCATGATCCCAAGAGCAAGAGGAGGTCAGCCAGTGACCTCACACCATCAGCTCGAGTGTCGGGGGCTGGGTCAGGGGCTCTCTGGGGAGGCATGTGGTGTGCGGGGTGTGGGAGGGAGCTCGGGGCCTTGGGAAGATTGAGTGACGTTGTGGTCGTTGCATGGAGGGCCTGAAAGCAGGATGGGGGTTGGGTGTGTTGAGAGGAGGCTGGGAGGGGACCGGTGTGTTTGAGGTGGAGGGTCATCAGGAAGAGCCTTGGCTGGGCTCCTGGGACTGCTGCTCAGGCCTCACCTTAGGGAGGCGGCACGTGTGGCCCAGGAGCTCCCGTGTGCTGCTCTTGCTGGCTGAGCAGGAGTCGGGCCCCCCCCCCCCCCCCCGCCGCAAGGTATGCCCAGGTGGCGTTGGCCCCACTTCTCAGGTCCTGCAGGACACCCCCTCACCAGCTGCTGCGAGGCTCCCCACCGGCTCCTGAGGCCCAGCTTGGGCCCGTCTGGGGCCCCCTCCCTCCTGCTCTGGGCTTCCGCCTCCCAGAATGACTGTTATGTATGACACTCTGATAGGGTGGCCATAAAACCTCGTAAAAGGCTTTGCTAAAGTAAATAAGTCACTCTTTGCTGTTCCCAGGTTGGTGTTCTGTGTACCTGCTATCTGGGTTTGTGCTCTTTAAGTCATAGTTTATCTAACACCAAGCAATTAAGAATACCACAAGGCTTAAAAAACAATCAAGCTATCAGGGCATGAAATCACTCCTTGTTGTAACTGAGACCAGCCCAAGCAGCTGCCCTGAATGGCGGGTTCGTTGTGCGGGGGCTGCTTTGGTGCCTATAGCTACGGGGCCGGGGGAGCCCCAGGCTGTCAGCGGGTCACCCCACTGCCCTTCCCACCTCCTGCCTTCACCAGTGTGTTGGGGAGGGTGCTTATGGGTCCTTCATTTGGTTTCTGACCGTCCTCACTTGTGGCTTCTAGCCCGGGCCTGGGTTTTGGGTGTCTGTGTCTGCTGTGGGTCCAAGTTCCTGGTACTGACCCGAAGCCTATCTTGTCAGTGTTGGCTGGGTTCTGCTGGAGGCTGCCAGGGGTGGGCAGAATGATCTAGAAGGTATCTGTTGAGCAGGTTGAAACTTGACTTTTTCTGATCAAAGTCTTAATGGAGTTTGAAGTTCTTGCTCTATGTGGACTTTTTAAGAAAGAGCTGTTTAGACCCTTGAAGGACAGTTGCAGGTTGGTGACCTGGAGCGACACCCAGGGAGCCAGGCCCCATTCCTCGGCCCTCCTGTTGGGAGCCCAGGGCCTCACCAGGGAGAGGAGAAAACTCTGTGCTGGCCGCAGCAGGGGCTGGGCTCACCGTCCACCTCTCGCACGGGTGAGCAGCAGCCAGAGGAGGCCAGGGCTGGGCCATGCCCAAGGCCTCTGTGGCTTGTGCTGGCCAGCACCCCTCAGGCACCGTGAGATGGGGCCACTTACTCTGGGTCCCTGCACCGATGCTTCTGGACAGGCTCTTCTGGAGTGAGCGGAAGATCACCAAGGCCAGGGAGTGGTTCCACCGCACAGTCAAGATCGACTCGGACTTGGGGGACGCCTGGGCCTTCTTCTACAAGTTTGAGCTGCAGCACGGCACAGAGGTGAGGTGTTGCATACGGTGGCTGGTGACTGGGGTGTGGGATCACAATAGAAATGGGGGTGGGGTTCAAGCCCTGAGGATTGGCCTTGTGCCCCGGCGAGTTCTGTCCTGCTCCACACGAGCCTGGGGGTGGCGTGCGGGGGAGCCTGGGCAGCAACCACCCACATTCCCCACCCCCCCCAGGGCTAAACATTGCTGGAATTGTGCTCATGGGGTTGGGGATGGCCAGGCTGTCCTGGGATCCCCACAGGAACTGTGGAATCTGGGCAACTCCTTGTTCAGAGAAGGCAGGCTCGGGGCACTCGTTTGAGGCATAGACGTGGGGGCTTGACTTGGCTCAGCATCTGTGTGCTGAAGCTAGCTCCTGGGAGGGTCCGTGCAGTGGGGCTAGCCCCCTGGAGGAGGGACTGTCTCAGGAATACACCTGAAAGACAACTCTACCCCCTGCCTGCCCGGGGCTGTGGTGAGTGTGGTGGGGTGAGCAGGAGGGGCCACCTGGGAGGAGCCCTGACTCAAATGCCCGCTGGTGCCTGCTCAGGAGCAGCGGGAGGAGGTGAGGAGGCGCTGTGAGAACGCCGAGCCCCGGCACGGGGAGCTGTGGTGTGCTGTGTCCAAGGACATCGCCAACTGGCAGAGGAAGATTGGGGAGATCCTTGTGCTGGTGGCTGCTCACATCAAGAACACCTTCTGAGCGTCCAGTCCCTGTGGGGCACGGTCCTCGGGACAGCACGTGGAGGAGTGCGTGATAGTGAGGGGCGGGGTGGGAGGGGTCCTGAGTTGTCCATCTTGCTCTTTAATTAAACGTTTTCCAGGTAGCGTGTCCGGGTTGGTGCCCTGCTGGTTTCCTCCGTGCCCTTGCCCCACCAGGAGCAGACTCTCGCTTGTGGTCCCAGGGGGCTCACCAGGGTTCTTGTTCCCAAGGGGGCCACTTGCAGACAGCCTGTATCCCGCAGAGAAAGCCTCCTTGGGACTCTCTGAGGAGGACCTGGGCAGCTCCTGTTTTGGGAACAGCTGGGATAGGCTCTCCTGGTGACCCTCTGGGTGGGGGGCATCGCATAGGTCTGCCCACCGGGGAGTGCACACAGCAGGCTCAGCTTCCTAGAGTGCCTCCCAGAGTGTGTTGCTATGGGGTCACTGGGAGGCTCCTTGGGTGTGCGTTCGTGTGTTCAAGGGAAATGTTACTGGAAGAGATTTTCTCACATTTGCACGTGAATTTATTTTTGCTAATTTATAATCAGTTTTGTTCTAAAGCACTTGTAACTGCCCTCATCCCTGGATTGACAAATGCATAACCTGGGAAGCGTATTTTCACTGTGGACGCTGTGTGAGGACAAAGTCCTTCCTCAGGCTGTGGACCTCTGTATGTGTGTCGGGCTGGAAACCAGCGGATCCTCTTAGAAGGGTTGTGTTGGCCGCAGCTGCAGGCATGTGGCCAGAGGCCATGGGTTGCCGGGAGGCCGTGGGCCAGGGAGAGGAGATGCTACTTATTCCATGTGGTGTGGAGAAGAGTAAGCTGGCCGCTGTCCTCACATGTTCATGTACAAGAAGATTCCAGAGTGGCCCCTGGGTGCCTCTGGGTGTCCCGTGACACCGATGAGGGGGCCTGTGGTGGGGCTCAGTCACTGACCCACGGCTCGGCCCTCCCCAGGCAGCCCAGGTTGGGGAGCGCTTGCCTCCACGGCAGCATCCAGGGCACGGGCAGCTTTGCCTGGAGAGGGCAGGCCCTGCCAGGTCCACCTCTGACATTCTGGGAGCCACAAGGACACTGCCAGCCCAGAGCGGGCAGCAGACCATCCGTGTGGCCTGGATCCCATTCACAGACTGTGGATCTGGAAATGCTTCCTCTGCTTCTCACCCTGAGATGGGCTAGGCCTGAGAAGTGGTGCCAGGAGGCTCACGGGGTCTTCACTGAGCCTTAGAGGAGTCTCCGTTGATCTCTCGGAGGAGACGGGAGGGATCCTGCCTGTTACACTGAAGAGGGAGTCCTGAAGCTTTGAGGAGCTTGAAAACCAGCCCGTTCCTATACAGACATAGAAACCAAGGCCCTGCAGGAGCAGTGACTTGGCCACAGTCAGGTGAGGCCTTCTGCGGAGCCCTTGGAAGGTTCTGGAGCCTCTGGAGCATCTAGTGTGAATTTCTTCTCCTTGGCGTGGGGTTATTTGCTCTAAGGTGGGGAAACTGCTTTCCTCTCTGGGAAAAATGAACCTTAGCTTTTCTTCACTGACATTTCTTCGGTTCCAGCTGAAGGCAAGTTGGCTTCTCGAGGCTGCCCTTGTTCTGAGGTGCTGGTTGTGGGGGTGACCCCCCCGGGCACTGCCAGACCAGGGGTGTGGTGGCCCAGCTCCCCGAGAGCCTGCTTGGGCGAGTGGCCATGACCTCCCCCAGCAGAAGACCCCCTCAGCCCAGGAGGCCTGAGCGGCAGGAGGAGCCTGGGAAGTCCCGCGCCTGGGACCTGCTGGGGCAGGACCCCCCCCCCGCCCCGGACGTCAGGGTGCGGGGCCTGGTGGCTGTGGCGGGGCTTAGGTCCAGCTCACCTGGGAGCCAGGTTCCCAGAAGGGGCAGTACCTACTGACCACTGGAGGGGTGCAGACAGGCAGGTCCTTGGCCTCTTCTGGCTACCCCCCTGCCACCAGCTGGACCCTGCCCTGCCCACCGGACACCCCACCTCCTCCTCAACAGTGCATATCTTCCTGGGGCTGATGGCTTAATCTGAGACCCACTGGATGGGAAGAGAGCCCGCAGCTGCTGGGCTCCAGGGTCAGGTTAATTGAAGAAGCAATTGGATAGGAGGTGGGGAGAGGGAGGGGGTAGGGCTGGGATCCTGGGGCCTCCCTCCTGCTCCCTCCCTCCTTTGCTCAGAGGAGCCAACTTCAAAAGCCTTGTCTGCCTGCCGCCAGCCTGCCCTGCTGCAGCCTGCCCTGGGAAGCCCTGTTGGCCAGGCTTGGAGCAGGAGGACCTGGAGTGGCAGCCACACTCCCTCCCTACCTGGGGACCCAGGATCATGTGCAAGGCCCACTGGCGGGAGTGAGGGAGGGCCTTGCCCTGAGAGGCCCATGGTGAGTGGCATTGGGCCATTGGGGAAGGGGCTCACCCACGGCCGCAGAGGGTCTGGGAGTGAGCATATCCCAGGGGAGGCTGCATGACCTTCCGTGCCCTACTGGGAAATCCCCCTCGGTTCCCGTCACCTTGGCCTGGCCCCGGTGCTCTTGTCTGTTCTTCCCGGCAGTGGGGGGAGGGGGAAGGGGGTCTGCTGGGCCGTCCTGGTGCCAGGGCTGCCCTGACTGGGCTGGGAGATGGGCAGGCCTTCCGAGGAGCACCTGGGCAGCCCTCCTACCCCATGGGGATCTCTCTCCAGCACCCACAGCTCCTGCTCTGGCTGTGACCTCTGACCTGCCGGGCATGCCTGGGGGCAGGTTTGAGGAGGGGCTACAGCAAATGGCATCTGCTCCTCCTGCCAGTGCTGCACCCCAGGTCTCTGTGCTGGTTGGGGTGCTGCTCGGTCAGGCTCCCCTCCTGGGGCTGGGAAGCGGAGTCGAGTCCTGCGTCTCGCTGGCTTCACATGATTAATTTTCCAGTCGCTGTTTGACTCCAGCCGGGGGGCCTGAGGGTGGGTGTGTGGCCCAGGGTCTGGGAACTAGCTGCTCTCTCTCTTTGATGTTGGGGCTTCTCGGTGGGGGTGGGCTTCTCCCCAAGCCAGTCCCTTCTGGAGGGGGAGGCCTGTAGAAGGACTGTCCGGTGGGGCACCAAGTGGCCCCTTCCTCCCTTGTCCCTGGGGGTTTCCCCAAGCCTTCCCCTCCCAAAGGGGTGTGGCCTTGAGCTCTGAGCCCTCATCCCTGTCCTGGCGGGAGTGAGGGAGGGCCTCGCTGGAGGCTGAGGGGGGGGGCTGAGGTGCAGGGGTACCCCATTTCCCATGGCGGTGAGAGCTGCTGGTGGCAGATCCATTGATGAGGAGTGGGAGCAGGTCAGTTCTGCCCCTGCTGTGGGGACCCAGAAGTGAGCAGTGTTCTGGGGAGCAGGGGGTGCTCCTCAGGAAGAGAGCCTGGCTCTGGTGGGGGTTGTGTCAGGGAAGTGTGGGGATGAGGTAGGGCACGGCCAGGCGAGAGGCCGTACCCCTAGACCAAGGTCAGCCCTGCCCCCCAGTCTTCTGGACTCTTGGCCCGGTGCTGCTGCCGCTGGAGTGCCCTGTCTCCTTCCTGGCCCTTCAGGGCTCAGTGGGCCTGCCTTCCCAGCCACTCCCCCCACCCCATATCATTCACCCCACAGATCTCTGCCTCGAGTGTTGAGCTGTCTGGTTTGCAGGCCTACTGTCTATCCTTCCTCTGCTCGGTCCATGCCTAGATCATGAGCGGCACCGTGACCTCTCCATTTTATACCAGCTCAGAGATTCCCTGGTTGTTGTCTGGGGGGCTGTCCAAAGCAAACTGCCTGAGGGCTTGCTATAGGGGAGGCCCCCTCCCCAGGCCTGAGCACCCCACCCTGACGCAGTGTCCCTTCCAGGTGCCTCCCAAGCCTGCACTCTGGGCGCTCCTGCTGGCTCTGCTGGGGATGGCCCCTGGCCAGGCAGGGCTCCGCACCTGCAGCGTCCCTGACGTGCTCCACCACTACCGAGCGGTCATCTTTGAGGACCTGCAGGCCGCTGTGAGGCAGGGTGGGCCAGGGGCACAGTGGACTGGGCCAGGCTCCCAACACCTCCATTTCATTCAGAAAAACGTGACTGGACCTGCAGCCCCTGGATGGCGGGGTCGGGTGGGAGCTTCCTGCAGTGCCCAGAAGGTATGGAGGAGACGCCCCCACCCGTGCCCTCTGGTCCCCTCTCGGGGCCTCCTCATAGGGCTCTTCCCCCAGCCTCCAATTTCCTCCCTTCCTTCCCCAGGAGCACAGTATCCTACTGTCCATTGCGTCCCTGGGTCGGACCCTGCGCAGGGTGGTGGCCCGGGGCCGCCGCGGGGCACTGGAGAAAGCAGCGTGGACCGTAGCCTTGCGCACCGAGGCGGTGATGCGGCGCCACTGCTGGATGCTGCGCCAGGTGTGCGGGGCCGGACCCAGCTCCCTCCCCTCCCACAGGTTCCCCCCCACCCCCCACTGAGCCTCCCGTAGCCCCGCGGTGTCGCCATCTGGGAGCTGCAGGGGTTCGACGCAAGCTTGTGGGGGTAGGGACCGTGGGCACTCGCTGACCGTCCCGTTCCCAACAGCGGAGCCGGTGGCCCGAGAGGCGCCCTCCCCGGCGTCGCGGCAGCCGGAGGAGGCTCCTACTGCGCGCCCTGGACGCCGTCGCCACCTGCTGGGAGAAGCTCTTCGCGCTGCGCGCGGCGGCCACGGAGGGCGCCTAGCGCGCTTCCTGCGCGGGCCCGGGAACAGCCGGCGGGGCCGCGGAGCCTGGGAACGAGCTTCGTTAGGTGACGACCGCGTTCTCTCCCTCTTGGCTCACCGCTGGGTCCCGGCCCCTCCCTTGTCGGAGCCCGCGCTCCTCGGAGGGCGCTAGACCTGGAGGTGATGCTCCGGGCGCCAAGCCAGGACTCAATAAACTGCTGGTGCTGCGGTCTGGTCTTCTTCCCTTCGCCTGCTGGCCGCGAGGCCGGCCGCCCCCGGATCTGCGCCTCGGCGGGGAGCGGGCGCCGGGGGGCAACACGGCACCTGCTCGGGGAGCCAGCCTTACCCGCCACACCTGGACGAGGACGAGGGCGCTGCGCTCCCAGCCTTGGGCAGCAGGGGGCGGCTCGGGACCCTGGATGGGACTCCCCTTGTCAGTGGGCAGCTCCAGGCTGAGGGCGGGGTGGGGGGTGGGGGCTCTAGCGGGCCCTGAAATATCCGGTATCCGTCCTGCTCCACTCTGGAATGGGGGAAGGGGTGGACATGGAGGGGAAGGGAAGGCTGAGCTTTGTGAATTCAGAGCAAAACAACCGGATAAAGGAAACGGGCCTGAAGGGAAGCCAGAGTCGCTGGCCCTGGCTGCAAGTGGGGCCAGGCCATTTCCTGCGGCCCTGGGAGGGGTGGCCACTGCCCCATCTGTGGACCCGGACAGGCTGGTCAGGGATCCACTATCTCGTGCTCTAGGACGCTATGTTTGTTGGCAGGGTGCGGGGCTGACCCTGGACTCCCCAGCCCACAGCTGCATAAACCTGGGTGTCCATGGCCCCCTCCCCAATCACAGCTGATGCAGGAGGGACAGTGGGGCAAATAGAGCCCCTAGCCAAGAAGGATGCCTGGTGGACTCAACACCCATCACACTCCTCTCTGCCAAGCAGATGGACCGAGGAGGCAGCAGAGCAGGCCCTGGCAGAACAGAGACAAGCCGGGGATGCAGAAGGGCCTTCCTGGTGGGGCAGTCAGCACCAGCACAAAGTGAAGAACTAGAGAAGGTGACCCTGACCTAGCGCCCCACTGTACATGTGCTAACACATTTAGTCTGTGTGACAGGAACTACTGTCCCTGATGAGACCGAGGCACTGGGAGGTTATCCCTGGTCCCAAATCACACAGCCGGGAAGTGTAAAAACTGGGATAAGACCCGGGCCCTGAGCATGGTTACACCCCACGTGTGCCCCGTGCACAGGATGGGGAACCAAGCTTACACCCCACGTGCGCCC